CCAGGGATGGGGGTGGGGTGGCACCCAGAGAGGTGGAGGGAGCCAGGTTATAAGGGGAGGTGGCTATGCATCATTGGTCAGAGGTGATAGGACCCTGACATCCAAGCCAGGTGTCTGCCCAGGCTGCATGGCCTGCCCAGGTCAGGAGCTCAGCAGCTGGGGGTGGGGGGGAGGGGGGGGGCAGCGAGGAGGGGCTGCTATTTATCCAGAACTTACCATGTGCTAAGCTTGCTGGATTGAGGTGTTTGTCCAGGCTCAAGCCTGTGGAGTCTTCACTCTGGCCCTATGGGGGTGGCGCGAACATTCCCCCCATTGTACTGAGGGGGAAATGGAGGCACAGAGAGATGGTGCTTGCCCAGGGCCTCACAGCTTGTGCATGGCAGAACTGGGGTTTGGGCCTGGTTTGCCTCACTTCGGCCCCATACTGGCCTGCCCTCGGCGAACGGATGGGGAGTGCTTCCGGCCCATGGAGTCACCCCTGCTGCACAAGTTGCGGACCTTTCTGGGTTCTGGCCTCAGTAGTTCCAGCTGGCGGGCTGCAGGGAGGGTGGGAAGCTGTCAGAAGAGAGCGCAGAGGCCTGCCTGCAGGGGAGGTCTTCAGGGGACCAGGGTCCTGCTCTGAGAGTGGCCACCTTTCTGCCCCACCCGCTTTCTGGGGACCCCAGAAGCCTCCCCAAATACAGAGACCGCCACCCACCCACCCACCCATTTGCTCATTCACTCTCACTCATTTATTCACCCTCATTGATTCACTTATTCATTCTGTCACTCTCGCTTATTCCTTTACTCTCACTCATTCGCTCGCTCACTCACTCAGGCCTTGTGTGGGCCACAGAAACCAGAGGTGAGTGAGGGGCCCAGTGCTCCCTCGGGAGCTCCTGAAGGCAGCTGAGGACATGCACTATAAAGGCTGCAGCAGTGGGGAGGACGGTGAGGCAAGGGGTGACGGATGTGGTCAGGGGCATCCCTAAGGGGGTGACATCTGAGCTGAGCCTTTAGGATCCATAGGAGCCACCTGGGAAGGCTGGGGAGGGGAACTGCATCAGGAACAGCGAGTGTGAGGGTCTGGAGGAGCAGAAGCAGGAGGGGGAGCGGAAGGGGGTGGCCAAGGTGACCTTGGCGGAGATGCATGGGTGCCGTGGGAAGTTTCCGGCAGGCGTGGGTGCAATGGGAAGCCATTGGGGCTTCTCTGAGGTTTCGTGAGGAGGGGGTGATGGAGGCAGGAAGGCCCGTTGAAGCTGGCTGGCAGGTGGGCCCTTGGCCATGTACCGGGAGAGCCCAAGGGCTCTGCAGCATCAGGGCTGAGACTGCCAGCTCCCTTGGCCCTGGGACAACTCCTGGGGCATGAGGGGGGCACACTCCGCTCACCTGGGAGGCAGCTGCGAGGCACTCTCAGGCCTCCTTCCTGGCCTAGGTGGTCACTGTCAGGGCTCCTGTGTGGGCCTCTGGCCTGCCCCAGGGAAGAACGCTGGCCACTGAGCCCCAGGCCGGGGCTGGCATGACTCCACTGAGCACCTGGGTCAGCTGGGCCCCCTTGCTGGGCATAAGGTGGAGGTTGATTGACCCCCCCACCAGCCTGGCCCCAGCCCACCTTGATGGTCCTGGGCAGCTGGACCTGGGCTCAGAGTCCTGTGCTCCCCAGAACTGCATCCTCAACCTGGCTGGAGAAAGCCATTCTCAGGGACCGACAGACCTACCCGCTCAGAGAGCCGCGCAAACAGCCCCGCATGCGGGGAAAGTGCCAGAAGACCTCAGGGCAAAGCTGAGGGGCGGGGAAAGGAGGTCTCAGCGTCCTGGGGCCCACACCTGCCCACCCACAGAAGTTGCCTCTTTGTCTTGCAGCCACCGCTGAGGCCCACCGAAGCAAGGTTTTGTCCCCCCCTCCGTGGCCCGGTTCGCCTCCTTTGCTATTTCTCGGGGGCCTGCTTGTGCAGGTGCAGAGGCTGGGGGGTTTGGGGGGGTTTGCAGGTGCCGCCCCAGGAGCCCTGACAGGCCCAGTGAGTTTTCGAGCCTGACACAACAAATTTGGCACAACTTGGACCTCTCCATCCATGGGCTCTCCATCCCTGGGCTCTGGGCCAGGCCCATGAGGGATTATTACCCCCATTTGCCAGATGGAGAATCTGAAAGTGGCAGTGACTGGGAGCTGGGATTGGCACTGAGGTAAAGACAAAGCTGCGGTGCCCACAAACCACACCTCAGGAGTCCTGTACCGACTCACACGATGAGGCCTCTTAGTGCCTCCATGTCAGCCACAGAGACCCTCCCTATGGAATCTGAGAGGCACTGTGCTCCCACTTGCCACGGGGCCTTTGCACATGCCTGGACTCTCTCGCCCGGAGCATGCGCCCGTGAGAAGGGAGCTAAGGCTTGTTTCTCCCGTTAACCCAGGAAATGGCCTGCCTGGCACAGAGCAGGGGCCCTGTCTCACCTTGAAGGCATGAGAGAGTGAAGGGGGTCAACCTAAAACTGCACATTCGCGACCCGTCAGGAGTGGACTCAGCCCATTCTTCTCTGACCTGGAAGAGACACTCAGGAGGAAGCTGAGTTACGTACATTCTACCACGGAACCCTTGCAGCCACAGGTGAGGTGGCCGCTACGGTTATTTCGTTTTCACTAATGAGGCTTGAAGATTTGATGTGACCCAGCCAAGGTCACTGGGTGAGTGGGAGGCAGGATTTGGCTTTTCCGTTTCCTGAGGTATAATAGCCATAGCACACCTGCCCAGTTCAGTTGCACAACTTGATGAGTCTGGACATATGGACATACCCATAAAACCACCTCTGCCACCCACCCCCACCCCCACCCCAGAAACTTTTCTTGTGCTCCCTTGTGTCTCCAGTGTCTCCAATGTCTCCCAGTGTCTCTAGTCAACCACTGAGTGGCTTTCTGTTACCATAAGTGAGTTTGCATTTTCCAGAATGTTCTAGAAATGGAATCACATGGCATGTATTCTTTGTCTCCTGGCTCCACCCAGCACCGTGACTGAGACTTCCCAGGTGGTAGCGGGATCAGTGCTTTCTTCTGATCCCTGTGCCTGTGGCATGGGAGAGCTGTTCCAGGACATTCGCCTTGGAGGGAGGTTTGGTTTGTCTCTCTTTTGCCAATTACAAATAAAACTGCTGTGAGCTTCCATGTATAAGTTTTTGCATGGACGGAAGTTCCCGTTTCTCTGGGATAAAGGCCTAGGAGTGGCATGTCCAGGTCCTATGTAAGGGTATGTTTAACTTTTTAAAAAGCTGCCAAAGGTTTTCCAAAGTGATTGAACCACCTTACAATCCCACTGGCAATGGAGGCGGGGGGGGGGGGGACAGGAAGGACCCCTGTGCCCTCCCCTCAGGCCTGTCTGATCCAGAGCCCAGTCCCTCACTGCCCAGTCCAGACCTCCTGGGCAGAGGCAGGAGCAGAATGACCAGGGGACTGGGGGGCCCCTCCCACATTGCACCCCCCTCCCCTGGCCGGGCTTCCTGGTGGAGCAGCTCGCTGCCTTCCCAAGAGGCCCAGCAGCTCCTGGAGGGCAGGGTGGGCTTGCAGCGGGTGCCAGGTCAAGGTCATGTCCAGGGAGCAGCGGCTGGACAGCTCCGGGACCCTCCTCTCTGTGTGGTGGAAGTCGGGGCCTCCTGGGCAGTGACAAAGGCTCTGGGGATGGGGCGCTGCGGGTTCCAGCGGGTCCCTTACAAAGTTGGAGTGTGCACGTGTGTGCAAGCGTGTGCACGCCTGCGTGTGCACGCCCGCGTGTGCGCGCGCTGCTTCTGTGTGCTGGGTGTGCACGGGCGTGCTCCTTGGAGCTGGAGAGGCGGAGGACGGACCCGCGGGCGGACCCCGGCAGGAGAGCGTCAGGGACTGAGCCGAGAGGCGGCCCACGGGGCAGGGCCGGCGCCCCCCGGGAGGCGGGAAGGAGGCGGGCTGGGGTGCGGGAGGGGGCAGGAGTCCTTCATTAGAAACGAGCCCCCGGAGCCGGCCCGCGGGTGCAGCGGCCGGGCCGCCGGCAGCCTCCGCGCGGGAGCACCGGGCCCGCGCCGGCTCCAGCCGCCCGCGGCCGACCTCGCGCGTCCTCAAAGCCAGCCGGTCCCTCTTCCCCCGCCGGTTGCTACAGCAACTGAGCTCTGAGTAATCAGCTGCGCGGTGACCTTTCTTCCCCCGGAGAGAGGGAGGGAGGAGGGAGAGGCGGGGAGGGGCAGGGGAGGGGGAGGGCGGGAGGGAGGAGGGAGAGCAGGGGGGAGCGGGAGGGGGGAGGGCGGGCGGCGGGAGCCGGATGGGGAAGCTGGAGGGGGAGGAGGGAGGAGGGAGGAGGGAGGAGGGGGGTGCCCAGCGGCTGGTCAAAGCTATAAACGCGCTGCAGCTGGGGTCTGGGGGCTCCGGGAGGAGCCGCAGTCAGGCGCAGCTGACAGCTCTGTGGTGGTGGAGGGAGCCCCGCAGAAGTGGGGGCGTGGGGGGGCCGAAGGGGGGGAGATTCCGGTCTGGACTCCCCTGGGTGCCCCACCCCTGCAGAGCCTCTCCCTCCTGGTCCCGAGCGTCTGGAGGAGGCAAGTCCCTGTGCTTCTGGCCCAAAAGGCCTTTTGCAGCTGTCTGGGCTCCCCCATTCCCCAGATGGGAAAACTGAGCCCAGGAAGCCGCGTCCACGATGGGGACCAACCCCGACGCCCTCGCGGCCCCTCTCCAGGCTTCTGACCCGAGACAGAGTCACAGCCAGAGCAGGGGGTGGTGTTGGGGGGTGGGGAGCTCCAGCCCACTCCCAGCTGGGGGTGGAGGGGTGGGGGGATGTGCTCTCTGGGTGTCCCCTACCAGGGAGGGACCCGCTGCCAGCGCCCTCCCATCCCCCATTGATGTGCAGTCCTCTAAACCCAGCAAGGGAGGGATGAGAGGTCTAGAGAGCCAGAGGCCAGGGGAGGGAAGGGGGTGGGGCAGGAGGGAGCGCATCCCGCACCCCCAGGGAGTAGGGGCGCAGTGGGAGGGCAGGGAGCCCTCCTGGTACCCAGATCCTGCCTCACCCACGGCTCCTCCCAGCTCAGCAGCACTGGGCAGCGCCAGGCCTGTCACCAGCCTGGCCCTGGGGATCCAGCGCCTGTTTATGAGGCCAGCCAGCCCCGTCACAGCCGCGCCCACGGAGGACGACAGATGGTGGATAACCAGAGTCTGCCGTTGGGGAAGGGGGCACGCAGGCCCGAGGGAGGGGGGCTGGGGCCTGGCGTTGTCCCCGCTGCCGCCCCATGGTCTCCATTTCTCTACCTGGGCCCCTCTCCGGAGCGAGCGCAGGTCTGAAAGGACACCTGCCCCACTGGGAGTCCCATTGGGGCTGCAAGGTGTTGGGGGTCCCCTGAGGGTGCAGGGGCCAAGGGTCTGAAGGTTCCACCCCAGGAGCACCCCGTGACCCCCCCCTAGCAAGCAGCCAGGACTCCCACTGACCAGGAAGTGCTAGGTACTGGCCAGGAGTAGCCACAGAGGGATTTTGCACAGACCCAGGGCCCCGGGGCCCAGAGGCGGCTCCAGGCGCCGGCTGATGTGCTCTCTGGTTCACGTCCACAGCAGTTCGTGGGGGAGGAAGCTGCCCGAGCCGCCTGTGATTTTACCCTGGCCAGCGCTGAGTCCACTCCAGAAGGCCTCTGGGTCTCAGCAGGTGCGTCCAGTCCCCGGGTGCTGGCTCCTCCCACCCGGCTGGGAGAAAAACCTGAGGAAAGTGAGACACAGAGAGGTCAAGTCACTTGCCCAGGGTCACCCAGCGGGTGGGGCCCAGGTTGTCCAGGATGAGATGTGCGTGAGGCCACAAAGCGACCACACAGAGCTGGTGGCAGAGCTGGCCTCTGTGGCTGGGCACCCGCCAGCTTCCTGGGCTTCTTGACACCCTGCAGCTCCCCCTTCCAGAAACCTGCGCGCACCTGGCCGTCAGCCCCACGGTGGTCATGGGGCTCTGGGTGGCAACAACAGCCAGGACGGCCGGCTTTCCTGAGCCAGCCCGGAGCCCCCCACGGGGCAAGCCCCACATGTGCCTTGTCACAGAGCCTCCCCCGGCAGTGGCTGCTGCTGGTATCCCTGTTTTCCGAGCGGGAAAGAGGCTCAGAGAGGTGCGGTCACTTGCCTGAGGCCCACAGCAATGAGTGCCAGCGCTGGCATGAGACTCCAGTCTGAAAGGTGGCTCAGCCCGAGGGTGGACCTCTTCAGCCAGCCCCCGTCAGCCGGGCCGCAGCAGGGCCGGCGTGGGTGTTTCCTGTGTGGGAGTTCACCGTGAGCAGAATTCCCTGGGCTCCCATTAGAAAGTGTTGATGGGAACTGCACAGAAGGGCCATCCCTGTGGCACAGAAAAGAGGAAGCTCACCCCAGGCCAGGCACGTGGGCAGGGCGAGATGGTCAGTAGGCTGGAAAGGCCATGGTGCCGGGGGCCACTCAAGCCCAGAGATCTTTTCCAATTTCGAAGTATCGGGGGGGCCTTGTCCCCCCTTAGACAGATAAGGAAGTTGAAGTGTAAGAAGATGAGATGACCCAACGCAAGCCCCGTAGGCCATGGCAGACAGAATCAGGGCAAAGGCAGGTGCCCTCACCCCCAGCCAGTATGGCCTTTGCTACATGCCAGTGCTACCTCTGCCCACCCTCACCTGTTTTCTCATCCATCCATCTGCCCATCCTCCCACTATCTAAGCCCCATTTGCCCATCCACCTCTCACCCACTAACCCACGCATCTGCCCACTGTCTCATCCATCCATCCCCCACCCATCCATCCCCCATCCATCCCCCACCCATCCACCCCCATCCCTCCATCCTCCACCCATTTACCCCCATCCATCCACCCCCCACCCATCCCCCCACCCATCCATGTATTTCTGTATCCACTCACCCAGTCATCTGACCCTGCCACCCTCCCACCCACCATCTTGTTATCTATTTTGTTTTCATTCTACAACCATATCTAGGTCTTGTTCCCACACCGTTGGTTCTAAAACATACACTTACGTGAGCGGATGGGGAGCCTGGCATCTCCGGAGGTGCACACCACCCCCACTGCCCAGACACACAAGGTACAGCTCCAGGGGAGGAGGCTCAGGTTGCCCCTTTCTCTGCTCACCTCCACTGGGAGGGCTGGATGAGCTGCTGCTTCTTTTCTTTCAGGAGTCACCTCATCTCCCCCCTGGGCATTTCAGTCTCAAGAGAGAGGCTTCCAACATGTGGAAAAGACGAAGCTGCTGGCCCAGTGGTCACTTCCACAGCCAGGCCATTCTACAAAGGACATTGACCGTCAGGGGATGGCCACGCTTGGGCCGAAGCACACCTGACCAGGGTATGGGACGAGAAGGACGGGCACTGGACTGGGCACTGGGCAGCAGCTGCTCCTGCCGCCAGCCGCGGCGTGACCCTGAGAAAGCAGCCCCTTTCCTGAGCGTGGGACGGGCGGGGGGAGTAGGGAGCTAGAGAGAAGGGGACAGCCCTCCCAACCCATGGGGAGTCTTATGAAGGGTGGATGGGATCAACCTTTGGGGCACACATTCTCTTATAACTGAAACCTTCCCGAAAGCCCCCTTGGTTCTCAGATCAGCTAGCTATTTCCCCATCCATCCGGGTTCTAGGGTCTGTATTCAGCTCCAGAGATGTAGAATTCCATGAAAATGGTTCTTGACCTCGAGACACTCTGACACTTGGCTTGAATGGAGACCACAGTCACATTGTTTGGGTGCTTGTTCCTGTGTGAACTCAGTCTTGGGGGTCCTACGAAGGGTGTTGGTTGTGCCTGGGCTGGGTGGGAGGAGGGTCCAGGTTGGGGCACACTCGGGATCTGAAGCATAAGGAGGAGGATGTGGAGGAGAGCCCTCGAGCAGAAAGGAGGGTTGGGGTCTGGTGCTCCCACATTATCTCCCCAGTGGCTCTCCAGCAGCTCTGCGTGGCTGACATAGGGTCCCCTGGCACATTTCAGGGGAGAAAGCTGAGGCTCAGAGAGTGCCAGCAACTTTCCCAAAGTCACACAGCTCCTTCGTGCTGGATCCGGGACACAATCCACTAGTCTGACTCCAAGGTCTGCGGCCTTTGCTCTCCGCCATCAGCCTGAGCACTGACTCTCCTCCAAGGAGAGGGTGGGGTGAAGGCCCACCTTCAGTCAGCATCCTCTATCAGCATGCATTCCTTCCAAGGAGGAGCATTTATCCACTCTTCTTCTGGGCCAGGCCCTCGCTGGGTCGGGAGGTAGCGCAGCAATAAGACCCGAATCTCCCTGCCCTCCTGGGCCCCCTGGTAGGGGGGTGCTAAGGGGACTGACCTCAACTCCCAGCAAAGCTGGGCTTTTCGCAGGCTTTAAAATACACTCAGGCGCTGTCCAGGCCCAAGGAGGGGAGGCCACAGGCGCCCAGAGCCGGCTGGGGTGGGGGGGGTGGGGGCTCAGCAGAGCTGTCAGCTCCACGCTGGCTCCTCTCATCAGCATGGGGCCCCAGCCTCCCTGCTTAAAGATCGCCTCCGGCGCTCTCTTAAAGATGCTAACGTTGCAGCTGACATTTGGGAGATCCTGGCAGGCGATCAAACCAGAGCTGAAAACTGGAGCTGCTGGGCGGGGGTGGGCACCAGGCAGCAGGGACCAGGCTGTTAGGGCCCAGGGCAGCCATGCAGGCGAAGGCTGTGCTTCCAGCCTGATCCAGTCCAACTGGGTATCCAGTTCGCTGCAGGAAGGATGTGGGAGGAGGAGGACACAGTAGGCTGGGCAGGAAGTGGGAGGAGTGTGGATGCTAAATCTCTCCTTTCAACCTTAAATACCAGGTCATTGCTAATAATCAGACCAACTGGCAAAAAGCCACCCACCTGGTGAAGAGTTATGGAAGAGAGGTAAGAGGGAAGGTTTCTGGTGCCAATTACATCTCAGCTGCAGTGCCCAGAGCTGGGTTCCTCCGTGCAGGAAGGAAGGTGCCCAGAGGATGCTGAGGGGCAGAGGGAGGGGTGAGGAGAGAGGCTCCCACTCCATCCCGGCCTTGGTGTGCTGGAATTCCACAGACTTCGACATGCCTGAGCCAACTTTGTCTCTTTTCATTCACCATCACTCTTCATCCACCTCTTGCCCAGCCTTCTCTCCAATCTACCCACTTCCCTACCTCCCCCTAACCAACTCATCATCTGCTCTTCCATCCACCCATCCATCCACCTACCCACCCGCCCATCCACCCACCCACCCACCCACCCATCCATCCATCCACCTACCCACCCACCCACCCACCCACCCATCCATCCATCCACCTACCCACCCACCCACCCACCCATCCATCCATCCATCCACCTACCCACCCACCCACCCACCCACCCATCCATCCATCCACCTACCCACCCACCCACCCATCCATCCATCCACCTACCCACCCACCCACCCACCCATCCATCCATCCATCCACCTACCCACCCACCCACCCACCCATCCACCCACCCACCCACCCACCCACCCATCCATCCATCCACCTACCCACCCACCCACCCACCCATCCACCCACCCATCCATCCATCCACCTACCCACCCACCCACCCACCCACCCATCCATCCATCCATCCACCTACCCACCCACCCATCCACCCACCCACCCACCCACCCACCCATCCATCCATCCACCTACCCACCCACCCACCCACCCACCCATCCATCCATCCATCCACCTACCCACCCACCCACCCACCCATCCACCCACCCACCCACCCACCCACCCATCCATCCATCCACCTACCCACCCACCCATCCATCCATCCATCCACCCACCCACCCACCTACCCACCCATCCATCCATCCACCTACCCACCCACCCATCCACCCACCCATCCATCCATCCACCTACCCACCCACCCACCCACCCACCCATCCATCCACCCACCCATCCATCCATTCAATTAACTAATCATCCTCTTCATCCATCCCTCCACTAATTCATCTACGCACCCCTTCCCCATGCACTCACCCATTTTCCATGCACTCACCCCATCCATTCACACACCTCCGCTCCATTAATCCATCCCCATCGCTTCACCCATCCCCCACCCATCCACACACCCGCCATCCATTTATTCATTTCCCCATTTTGCACACCCCATCATTGACCTCCCACCCCTGTTCCTAATGCCCATTATCCCATTTATTTCTTCAGCTCAGGGAAAGACACACCCATTAGCTTTAGAGGCTCAGGGAGGGTTTCCAGGAGGAAGACCATCTAAACTGAAACAAGGTTTGGGGGATCCAGGTAAATTGCAGAGGGAAGAGTGACCCCCCCACCCAGAGACAGAGTGGTCTTCAAAGGCCTCTTAGGGGAACAGAGGCTGCATTCTGGTTGTTGTTTATTTATTAATTATTATTTCATCACTGCATGGCAAGTTTATTGAAGACGGGCAAAAAGGAAAGAGAGACCCCTGAATCCACACGGATGGGCAGTCTTCGAGGACAAGAGCTGCCCCGGTCGATGTATAATGTAGAGAGCAGATAACAGGACCAAAGGGAGGCTTCAAGGCAGCAGGGCCAGGGCCCAAAGCTGGGACTCCTTGGCCCACAGACCCACGGGTGGGTGGGAGGGAAGTGAAAGGTCCAGACACAGCAGCCTAGTCCTGTCCTGACTAGCAGGAGAGCTCTCTGGCTGCACCCGTCAGGGCTTTTTCGTGAAATGTGTGAACTCAAGCTTCTTTGCATCGGGGCTGTAACTAATGCTTGCTGTGCCCTGCCCCGAGGTGCTTGGCCAAAGCTGAAAAACTATGCACTGGTCCCCTAAAATCCCCGCTTTTCTTCCTGGGACCCCTCTCATCCAACCAGTCACCTTGCTGGAAACCCAGGGGGTCCTCCTCACTTCCTGCCTTTCTCCACTGTGCCCCTGCTCTGTCAGTTCCAGCTCTGATGTCCTTGTGTCTGTGGTTCTCCACCCACCTGGGTGAGAGTAGCTGTCTCCTTGGGCAGCAGCGAGCTCTTTCTGGAACATCTGCCCCCCTGCTAGTTCCCTGGATGAAGTCCTAGAGCCCTGTCATAGTCGCTAAGAACCTCCCCAAGCTGCCCTTCCCAAGCTGTCTCTGTAGGACATGAGGCTGGTCAAGTTCAGTGCTGCAGAGACAGGTCTCTAAAGCCCCTGGACTCTTTTGGCCAAAGCCTAGAAAATGTCCTGAGTCATCAACTGACCGGCTCCTCCCACACTTAGCTGAGATGCTCTGCCCCAGGGAGCCAGGCAGCAGCACCGGGGCCCTCAGGCAGGAGACTCCATGGCAGCGCCCAAAGGGAGCCTTTACCCCAGGCCCTCCCCAGGTCTGGCCTCTCCTGCTTGCTGTTTGTGCCTTAAACCAAAGCCAACCGCTTGGCCTCTTCTCTGCCTACAAAACATTTTTCACTGATTTGATGGTTACAGAAACTTCCTTCCTGCCTTCACATTCACAGGGAAGAGCGAGCCCTGGCCCTGACTCAGAATTGGATGCTAGCTGGAGGCGTCCTCTCCGCGGCCGGCTCCAGGGAGAGGGTTTTATCTGTTTGTTCCTTGACCTTGAGCGGGAGCTGAAGCAGCGGGGAAAGACAGGAGCTGGGAGGGGGGCGAGCGGAGTGTGGCCCTGGGACCCCGCGCTCCATCCCCGGGGACCGCCAGGTGACAGGAAATAAGATGAGAGGGAGGAGACAGGCCAGAGGGCCTTGCACAGGGAGGTCAGGACAGCAGCAGCGGCTCCAGCGCTTGCTCCTCGGGGTTCCCAGGCTGCAAGTCTGACTGCCCCGGGGCCCCCGGAGACTGGAGATACTCAGAGCTGGGAGGAGACTTCACCCACCCCGGTAGAGCTGACTTCGGGTTACAGCCAGCTTCTAGGGAGCGCCGCCCCGGCAGCCCGGCCCTGCCCACAGCGAGCCTGCGGCGGGAGCGCGTCTGCTCAGGCAGGAGAGCAGGGCCCGTCCCAGAAAGGGGCAGCTTCCTCCTCCCGGCTTTGGTGTGAGACTGAAATGAAACCCAAACGTCCATGGCGCACCTTCTCTTTGCCAGCATTCTGATTTCAGTGAGCAGACCGCCTTTTCTCCAAATGAACTGAGGCGAATCTAAAATGGAGGGTTTATCCACCCCCACCCACCCCCACTGCCGCCCAACAAACCTCATTCTTACTACAGAAGAAAAACGTGCTTATTGTAGCTACTGTAGACAATACAGATAAGCCGAATGAAGAAAATAAAAGCGGCGTGGATAATCCAATCAGCGGGAAGACAGCAAATTATTGGGAACCGTGATGGATCCGCCATCTTGGGCGGCGATTCAAGATGGCTGCCGGCGCGGCCCGCCCTGCTCCCAGACGCGGGTGTTGCTCTCCCCGCGCCTTCAACCTGGACTGGTCCCAGCACTGGTTTCGAATCACAGAAGACAGCAGGTACGATGCTGTGAAGCTTCTGGGGCATCTGCAGTCCTAAGTGGCTGCCCCGCTGTGAAAACCTCCGCCATGCTGTGAGGAAGCCGGCGACAGTGACCAGGAGAGAGGCCGGCCGAGGAGCCAGGCCCGGGGAAGAAGCCGTCTAGGCCCAGCCGCCGGCTAACTGCAGCCAAGCAAACGATCCCAACCCTTGCTTCTCTTGAGAGGATGAGAGGAAGATCCATAAATGGGGGAAAGCTTTCTGGGCTCACAACTCTGTAGATGGAATTGTCTGCCACCCCCCCCACCCCAGTTCAATATATTGAAGCCCTAACCCCCCACACGTCCAGGCAACCGTATTTGGAGATCAGGTCTTGTTACAGGGCAGCCCCGATACAAAACGGGTTGCAGGACATCCTTTCCCCCTAACAGTCTCACAAGAGCTAACAACACAAGACCATTTGGGTCAGTCCCAATCCAGTAAGACTGTGTCCTCAGAAGAGGAAGTCTGGGCACACAGGTCACCACAGACGAGAGACCAGAGGACACGCGGAGAAGGCAGGGGTGTCTGCAAGCCAAGGAGTAGGCCCCAGGGGAAACCAGCCCTTCCCACCTTGATCTTGGACTTGCAGCCTGGGGTGGTGGACCCAGTGCAGTCTCATCCCCTGGCATCTCCTTTAGAAGGGGGCGAGTTGAGTCCTCCACAGCCCTGTTTGATACTGGGAGGGCTACTGCTCCTGGCCAAGGAAAGGCTCTGTAAATGGGCCCCTCTGTGCTTCTCCGGGTCACCCTCTATTTCCATCACCTCCTTGCCCACCTGGGATAAGGACCCCAGGGCCCTCCTTGAGGGCTGAGCAGCTTTCTTCATCTGTTTTGTCCCCATTGGGACCCACTGTGGGACAGTCCAAGGTCACAGCCTCTTCTACCCCAGGGATAGCTCTTTCACTGCTGTCTCCCTCTTCAGAACTTAGCTGGCTGTTGAGCTATTTATTTCCACTCAGCTCCTTGTGCTAAAGACACAACCAGTGCTTTTCCAGACCTGAACACTTTTGAGGGCACCCTGAGCTTGACAACCTTGAACTTGAAGGGGCTAACAAAGGTCGCCATGGCCACACGCACCCTGAGATGGAGTCTTCGCTGGATGCCGTCCCACAGAGCATTCATAGTTTTACTATTTTTTCTAGAATATTCTCCGTGAACTATTTGTGGATTTCCCCCTTGGAAGAGTCTCCACAGAAAGTTTGAAGTTGACAATGAGGCTTCTCAAACAATACTCTTTTAGGGACGCAGCCCTAGTTAAATTTAAAACTCTTATCTGCTCCAAGATCGTATCATGTATTCCAAACGCCAGTATGTCAGAAGTGTTGCTAAAATGTCATCTGTAACTCCATTTTTGCAGAAACAACTCCCTGCCAGAGGGCAGGGGCTGGGTCTGTTTCGCCTGCTTGTTGTGCAAAGAGCAGTCTTGAAACAAAAATGGCCCCTTTCCCCAAAGCCATCCCTCTAGGTCCTCTGCAGGAGGGTGGGGGTTTCACTTTCTCCACTTGGGGCTGGGGAGTCTGAGTCTCAGCTCAGCTTCTTTTTTTTTTTTTTGCATGTTTTTATTTATTTATTTGTTTGTTTGTTTTGTTTATACATGCACTGGGTACAGTCAGAAGCACGGGAGGGTGAGAGAATTCACCAGAGCCAGAGCGGGGAGCAGAGCAGGCAGAAGGACCGAAGTACACTGCTGAGGGGAGCAGCGGGTGGCAGGAGAGGTCTGCGCGCCATGTGGGACCCTCCCCCGGTGGCCGGGGAGCAGCCGGGGATCGAACCGGCGCCGCAGAGTCCGCGGGCAGCTTCGCAACCCAGCGCTCAACCGCTGCGCCACCGGGGAGGCCCTCAGCTCAGCTTCTGTTCGGGGGAAAGGATGTCCTGAGCTAATTCCACTGCAGTGGAGTATTAAGTCCCTTTTAAGTGCGCGGGTGAGGACCCACAGTCAGGCAACCCGTTTTATGTCGGGGCTGCCTTGTACCACTTCCTCTGGGTTGACGGTTCCTCTGTCCCGAGGCCTTCAGGCCCTGGAGGTCCTGGGGTGTCACTTCACCTGCATTGGGTAGACACAAGAAATAGTTGCATTTTTCAACCCCGAAATCCAGAATCTCTGCACTTTCCCTGTCCTCACCCCTGCTCAGGACCGGCAGGCTCCCCGCGCTCCTCTCTCTCCACCCCTGCTGTGAATGGGGTGTGCTCCTTTGCTGGGGCTGCTGGAACAAAGCTGGAAATCAGGATGTCAGCTGGTGTTTCCCCCTGAAAGCCTGGAGGGAAAGATCTGTTCCAGGCCCCTCCATGATCTGTAGACTGCTGCCTTCTCCCGAGCCTCCTCCCTGGCCTTCCTTCTGTGCACGTGTGTGCAAATGTCGTGCGGATGAGGACGCCGCCACGTTGGATTAGGACCCACCCTGGTGACCTTGTTCTACTTTATTCACCTTTTTAGGACCCAGCCCCCAAGTGTAATCAGGTCCTGCGGTGCTGGGGCTTAAGGATTCAGCTTGCCCAAGGGAAGGGGCCATCACTCCCCGAAGGTGCAGCTAACAGCGTCCAAGGACAGAGCCCGTTTTGTTTCCCAGGCTCCTCAGCTCGTCCAGCACCAGCTTTGCCAGAGCCCCCCAAATGATCTTCGCTGCATAAAGTGGGTCACATTCCTCCCGCCTACAAGTGCGTCTCCTGTCACCTGTTACCTGCTTCTAAAGCCACATAATCGGAGTTGCTACTTGCCTGCTACCAGCATCCTCCGTACTTGCTGCAGCAGCCTCTTCCAGGCCCGATTCCTGTGCTGGTCGGATGTGGTCAGGTGCTGCGTGACAGACACCCCTGGGTGTCCATGGATGACCACAGCCGAGGTTCAGCTTCATAAACCTTTCATGATTAAGCTGCCCCTTCACATTAGAGGCCTTCTGGCTGGGGCTCCGCCCACCGCCATCCTCATTCTGCATCCAGGCTGGAGGTGCGGCCCCAATCAAGAATGTTCAACCAGAGAGAACAGAGGCAGAGAGCTGGTGCAGCCACGGGGAGCTTTTCTGTCCTCTGGAGGCCCAGCATGGGGTCAATGACATTGGTCAGAACAAGCCACATGGCCGATCCTGCTGTCTGTGGGCACAAGTCTGGGGGCGTCGGGAGGCCCTGGGAGTCACTGGCCACGGGGCAGGCTCTCGTGTCTCCTGGGGCACGGGATGTGGGGCCATCTGCCACCGTAGTTAACAGCACGCTGGCTGACGTTGGCCAGGCTGGGCCTGGTGCCCACAGCCTCCCACCTAGGTCCCGTTTTAGAGATGAGAAAACTGAGGCTTTGAAAGGAGACGAGACTGTCATGATCTGGAATTAGAAACAAGATCTGTGAACCCAAGGGGCCTCCACGGTGGGTCTTGTTCCAGTCACCTGTCTCCTCAGCTGCAGCTGGAAGGGGCTGGCGAGGACGGGCGGGTCAGGACTAGCCAGCCCCAGGGAGCACAACTGGCCCCAAGAAGTTCTCAGTGGGGGCAGGACCTCACAAGGCAGCTGCACACCCTGCCAGCGCTTGGGAGAGCCTGTTCCTTGGGGAGCCCACACTCCATCTTTCAGCTCAGCTCTACCTTGCCCACCCTGCCCTGCAAATCTAGGATTCCTGCCAAAGCAGGGCCCAGGGAGGGCAGGGCAGGATGTATGTAAATAAATCCACTCCTTCTGGAGCAAAGGGACGGCTGAGTCCTGCATCCCCCCAGAAGCCCACGTGGTACCTGAGTCCGAGGGGTGCACCCCTGAGCAGGGAGGGGCTCCTGCGGTTGTGGAGCTCCTGGGGGCAGCTCCTGCTCTGCCCTGCCTGTCCATTGTCTGGGACGGGAAGGAGGGACTGAAGCAATCTGTGACCTCATTATTATTATCCTTGTCTTGCAGGTGGGTAAACTGAGGCAGGTTAAAGTGGCTGCCACACGTGTGCGCTTGCAAAGGAGACCATAATGTGTAAAAGAAAATAAATCGCCAAAAAGGATGCAGAGCTTCTTCCGACTCTTATAAACAGTATCTATTCATGCCTGTATGCACAGAGGACCTGGAAGGTTTCATATCAAGCTCTTGAGGCTGATTCTCTGGGGACCAGAAATGTGAGGTGAGGGAGAAAATATTACTATTTCCTCTGTACCTTTTGTACTGTAACAGTGAAGAAATCTCATTTTTGTAATTAAAAAATAAGCAAATGGTGGGGGGTGAAGGAAGGGGTTACCCCAGTCTGTGCCAGAGATACCAGAACTTTCTTCCTAGCCTCACTTCAGGTAGCAAGAGGCAGCTGGTGAACGGCACGGGCTACTTCTCTCCTCTCCTGCTCTCTTTCCCTGGGTCCTCTCCAGCACTGCCTGGGGGTTTGCAGCCGACCCCCTAACTTAGGGCCAAGAAGCATCTCAGGTGAATGGCAGGGTCCTGGCCTCAGAGCCTGTGTCTGCGGCGTGGATGGGCACATCACCCTCGTGATCACGTGAGGTCGGTAGACGGTGGCGGTGGGCGGGGGGGGGGACCCGGAGCCTCGCTGCCTTAACACTGGACCCCACTGTAGGTCTGTGAGAGTCTCACTTGCCAGGGGGGACGTTGAATCTCGGGGGCTCTGGGGAGCAGACCAGCGAGGCCCTGGGCCTGTGTCCCAGCTGCAGAATCTCTTACAGAATAGGATCGCCCAGGCCCTGAACCCCAAGCCATCCCCAAGAAGCAATAGAGTCACCAGTCAAGGAAGGCGGGGGCACAGGAGGGGTCAGGTGACAGCCCTTCTCCCCACTAGGTGCTGAGAGCTTTGACTTGGTCCATGGGCCCCAAGGGAGGGGTGGAGGAGGGGCAGTGGCCAGGCCACCGAACTGGAAAACATCCCAGGAACACCTGCTGCTGGCCCAGGGGCCCCCTGCGCAGCCCGGCCCAGTGCTCAGAGCCCCTTGTCCTTGGCACTGCCAGGGCCTGGCCTCCAGCACGCCCGGCTCACACAGCGAGGTGAGCCTCCCCGCCTGCTTGCCAGCCTGTGACCTTGGCGGCGTCATCCGCAGTCTCCGGCCCCCTCAGATCCCTGTTCTGTGCAGGGGGCGTCCCAACCCTCACAACCCCGATGTCCTCGACTCCCACTGTGGCAGCGGGGAGGGCTAGTGGGCCCCCCACCCACCCAGGCAGGGCAGGATTTGGATGCTAGGCTTTCTTTCGGGGGGAGCCGTTGCAGACCGGCCCCCGCACCCCTCGGCCTGGCGACCTTGGCCCGGCCTGGCTCCCGCCGCCATCCTTTGAGCAGAGCTGTCGGCCCGCGCCTGACACGGGAGGGCAGAGTCGGTCCCCGCGCTTGCCCTGGCTGCGGAGCCCTCCGCCCGGGCCGGTGCCCGAAAGGCCTTTAAAAATCTCTCTGCCCGTCCTTCCCCCACGCGCCCAGCCCGGCGAGGTGAGCCAGAGCAGGGGGAGCGCGCGGGGAGCGCCTGGAGCCGCAGCCGGGAGAGGGAGAGAAATGCAAATGTTTTCATCCCCCTTTCTTTTAAACGCCGAAACCAGCCTTGACAGCCTCTGAAAATAAATGGCACCGACTCGCTGGGATTTCAAATTCCGTGATTAAGGGCTGAAGCAAATACTTTTCCCTCCCTCCCGCCCGCCTCCCCCGCCCGCCCTCCGTGGGCTGATAGAGCGGCTCGCGGGGCCGGGACAGCTTTTTGCGAGCCTGCCAGGAGCTCTGATACCAGCCTCCCGCCGCCGGCAGCGCTTCTGCGCCCGGCTCCCGGGCTGTTTATCAGGAGCGCTCACACCGCCAGCCGCGGAAGCAGCTTTAAATCCCCTTCCGAGCCTCGGCGGCCCCCTCCTCATGCTGCACACAGCACACACACACACACACACACACACACACGCGCGCGCGCATAGAGCCACAGCACGCTCACTGCACGACACACATGCACACTGCACACACCCGCACAGAGGTGCATGACACGTGCACACAGCATGATGCTGATACACACATGCACACACAGCAGGACACACGACATGCACGAACACATGCACACTACACACGCATGCACACCACAGAGGTGCACAACACATGCACACGTGTGCATGCACGCTCACGTGTGCACCAAGGCACACATGCACACAGCATCTCACACACACACACACACACACACACACACACACACCCCGTAGCTCAGGGGAATTTCTGCCTGTTCTCCAAGCAAAGACAAGGAAAGCTGCAAAGCTGGGGGGTAGGAGGACTAGGATAAAGGAGGGAAGTGGAGAGGAGGGGCGAGGGCCAGGAGGACAGTGGCCTCCTCTGGGTTCACAGCTTTTGGGGGCCTAGTGTGGGGGCAGCTTTGATGCGCAAGAAGCTCAGTCCCCCCTCTTCTTAGTTGCTCCCCACCCCACTCAACTCAGGCGCCTGGGTCTTCCTGCTCAGAGCCCACCAGCACCGCTCCAGGCCCCAGCCTGCACCTGCCGCCCCAGGGCTCAGCTGCCCTGCCTCAAGGGCGGGATCCTGGCTGCTGGGGAGCGGGGAGCCCAGCTCAGGGTGGCCCATTCTCAGGGTTTGGACTCCTCATCTAGAAAACGAGAGATTTATATAAGATAGACCTCAGGACCCAGGCAGAACACTCCCCCCATGGCCTTGAACTCCTGTGAGCACGCCGCCAGCCCCTCCCCTCCGCAGGTCTGAAGGTTCAGGCTCAGCAGGGAGATAGATCCCAGCGAGAAAGAGGGGCAGTCAGTTCACTAACTGGCACACCTGCGGCAGGCACAGGGAGGTAGCACAGAGAATGCCCCCCCCCGCCCCTGCTCTGGAGGCCACCGCTGCTCAGTGACCGCACCGTGCGTGACTCTGTCCCTGGTCTCTGGGCTCACTCTGGGGTCCAGACTCTGTGATGGATGAAAGACACAGGTGTGCTCAGGTGTAGGCTACAGACCACCCCCTCACCCCCGCAGTCCTTCCTGGGGAGCCAACAACTGGCGTGGGGTGTGGAAGCAAGGCCCCCTGGGAGTACCCTCTGGTGGATGACTTGAGTGCTCAGCAGAGGCACTGGGGGGCACAGTCTTCCTGGGCAATCTCTGGGGGGCGCCCTTAGGGGTGCATGGTCTCACTGAGGCTGCAGCAGAAGGGACGCCAGGACAGCCGCTGGTCTCCGGGCCAGCTTGATGGAGCACCCCCACCCACACGCCCCTCCACACACCACCCAAAGCTTGAGACTCCCAGGAGAAGCTGCCCGCAGGAGACTGGTCGATGGGGACCCCCAGGGTGGCAGGGCCCCCTCAGATGTTTCCCCTCCTTGCTGGGTCGGGTCTGCGCTCTGACCCATTTGTACCTCACTTTTGGTCACTTCACCAGAGCAGCAGCCCTTGCGTCTCCCGGTGGTTCTTTGTTGTTAAGGTGCGAGCAAAGCAAGGTCAGGTATAAGCAGCCATGCTCTCCTTGCAAGGACCCCCCCCAGCCATCTGGGGTGCCCTACAATGATCTGGGGTGTCTGCCATGGGTGGGAACTTCAGGCAGGGTGACCCCCACCCGGAGTTGAGGACTCTGGAATCCGCAGTGGGGAGGTGACCTTCCCAGAGCCACGCAGCAGAGACCTGTCCTGGGGGGTCTCCCTGCCCCTCTCGGCATTTGACACGTAGACCCTGAGGGCTGGGTTGCCAGATTTAACAGATAAACATAGAGGATTCTCCCTTACATTAGTATTCCGGAACCTATGATGAGTAACATCCTTGTGTAAGTGTGTCCCATGCAAAATTTACAGCAAAAAAATTATTCACTAGCTGAAGTTCCCGTTGAACTGGCCGTCCTGAAACTCGCCTGGCAGCTCGGGGTGGGGGGTGGACTTCGACTTAGCAACTGGGGTTCTTTGACCTACAAACCCAGCAGCAGGCGCGAGCAATACTGCTAGTCCTCACGCGGGGACTGACGTGCACAGATGAAGGAGCCGGGGGCGGGGGGCCGTTCCTCAAGGAACGGGGTGCCGGAGCCGCAGTGAGTCATGGGGGCCTGGTGCGCCACGCACAGACTCGAGGGCGGAAGGACGTGAAATGAAGAAAACGATGGTGCAGTCGCCCACCTCTCCCAAGCCCTTCCCGTGCCTTTCCTCTGTCACAGGGTCCAAAAAAGTAAAATACTCCTTTCTCATGGTCCCTGACAGATCGGGGAAGACACCCAGTTCTGGCCAGGCAGAAGAAGGCAGGAGATCTTGGGTGAGCTTCCCTTCCCAAATTAAATGACAAAGCTCTTGCACCTTGCCTGGAATGCAGGCGTGATGGCCCGAGGTCGGGCAGCCATCTTGTGGCCGTGAAGTGTTCCTGAGTGCTCCTTAGGGAAGACGGTCTCATGCTTGACTGTGGCAACCTTTCCCGGATCTTACAGCGTAGGAGGCAGTGTGGAGCCGCCAATATCCTTTCTGGTGGAGGATGTGCCTTCATTCAACGATTATGTCCTTTTGGGCCTTAGAATGTAATTCATTTCATGAAATGAAGTGACAGTTGATGATGGAATTCTTGGTCTTATTAACATCCTTCCCTAGCAGGGAATTTAATGTTGGAATCACCTACTAGTTTCCCCAAATTTTCTTTGGAAATTTCTTTGGAAACCCCAAATCTTAGGGTGTGTGCCCCAGAAGCCCTCAACGCACTCACCCAGGCCCAGCTGGAGGAAGGAACAGCAGAGAGGAGAGGGGCTGGGGAGGGTCCAGGCACTACTGTTCCAGGAGCCTGCCATTCCCCCCGCCCCCCACTGGAGCGGGAACAGCTAGTCACAGCTCCCCAGGAAGGTGTGTCAAGCAGGCTGTGTTCAGGTCAGAGCGGGTGTTCTGTGTGGTGTGCACCCCTGCTCCAGAGCCCAGTGGCTTGGTAGGTCGCAGCCTGGGTTGGGCAGGGATAGCAGGTACTCATGGGAGAGTCCAGGACCTCGGGCTCTGCAAAATGCCCTGGAGGCCCAGCCGAGCCCCATCTGGAGAGGGGGCGCCTGGGAGAGGGTCTTGGCAGCAGCAGCACATCAGGAAACTGCTCCACCAGGGAGATAAAAGGCGAACACTGTGCTACACTCACAGCATCTTAAACCTTGCAGCTCGCACCAGCCTGCCCTGAGAAGCGGGAAGATCCGCGGGAGGCAGACTAGGGAGCTGCTGGGAGGTGGAGAGGGTGGCAGGGCAGGGAGTTTAGCCAGATCTCCGTGTCTTGCTGCCCTGGGACCATCCTGCTCGGCACAGGGCCCTGAGGGCTGGGCCGGCAGCAAGAGCATCTGGTCCAGGGCGGCATTTTGGGTTCGTTCTAACGTTGGAGACTAGAATGCACAGGGGGTTAGGCCCGTGTATGGGAAGTGCGCAGCTACAATGGGGGCGCAGGGGTGGGGTGCCCGTGGGACCATGCACCATGGCAAAAGGTCACTAGACCCACAGCACTCCAGATATCAAAAACATACAGCAGAGGGACACTAGTTCTGTCCTCAGGGGTGTGGCCCGGCTGCACCAACTGCAAGGACACCCAGGGCAGAGGTCCCAGCCACCTTGTGTCTGTCCTTTCAGCCTCAGCCTTCCCGGGACCCCGGCTTCGGGCCCAGCCTGCTTGATGAGCAAAGCAGGGAAGAGGATCAGCTAAAGGTCCGGCTGGCATCAGACAGTGTTGAGCTCAAATCCAACTGAGCTGAACCCTGCCTGGCTGGGTGACCTTGAGCAAGGGGCTTACCCCCCTCTGAGCCCGTTTCTTGTCTGCATGGGGAGAGGATGTCCACGTCCAACCACAGCCGTGAGGGTTAATGTTGGTGCTGAGACTGGGAGCCGGCCTGACAGTTAAAGAAATGGTCTGGTTCCTTCCAGTAGTTTCGATGTTTCTTTGCCGCTGGGAATCCTGGAAGACGCCTCCAGATCTCGTACTGTTCGGGGAAGCATGGGCTTGCGTGAGGAGGATTTGTCTTCTTTTTAAAGAAGTCGAGGCCACTTTGCAATCAGAGCCCTCGTGGCTGGAGCAGAGAAGGTCCTAGGAAGTGGTGTTAATCAGGCTCCTTGAGGACATGCAAATCAGGAGAAAGCTCAAGTGATTAGGGTGTGATGGGGCCTGGGGTCCAGACTGTACCCCCAGCTGAGAAGAGAGAACCAGAGGCCCTGGGGGCGGTGGTGGGGGCCGGGGACAGTGGGCTGTGAGCAAGTGGAGGGGCAGGGGAGCCCATCCTGCAAAGGTGGCCGGAGGGCTCTGTGGCGGTGCTGACCAGGTGCCCCTGCTGGCTCCCCACCACCCCTACAGCCGCGGGGCTGGGGCGCAGCTCTGGCAGGAGCCCCCTGCCTGGCCTGGATGCTCAGAGCACGGCCTCTGGGGACAGACAGGCTTGGGGCACGCCCCCCCGGCCGTGTCTACCCCTGATACATGCGGGCGCCCTGCAAGGACCCAGGGTCCCAGCTCTGCGGACCTCTGGGATGCACAGAAGCACTGGAATAGGCCAGTGCGGGCACAGGGGTGCCATCGTGGGGGTGTGCGTGGGAATGAGCCGTGGGAATGGAACAGACTGCGCAGGGGCGTGGTTTGACCTGGCGACGGGACACAGGCGCCCCGGAGTTCCCTTTGGAGCACGGTGGTGACTGAGATGTGGGGAGGCGGCCACAGCGTGCTGCTTGGGGCTGGGGGTGGAATGAGGTCGCAAAACCCGGGTAGGCTGGCGAGGGGGGTCGTCCCCGCGCTGGAGGGAAAAAGAGAGATGGAGGAAAATGCGCAAGGAAGGGGGCTGGCGGCAACCTCAGCAGCAGCCTCGGCGGCGGAAGGCTGGGGTCCGGGCTGCCCCTCCTGGCTGCTTCTGCGTGACTTTCTTCTTTAACAGTGGATACGCACTACACTTCCTTCATCAGTAAAGCTGTTTTCTCCTTTCTTTTTTGAGAAAACTGCTGCGTGGCTTGACCTCCCCCAATTCCTTCCAAACAAAAGGACCCTGCTCCCAGCCAGCCCAGGTCCCGCCCCCAGGGTCGGGGCTGGCATGGTCAGATCGGCGTCCCCCCACGCCGTCTCTGGGCCATGCAGAATAAATGGGGCACAGGGTCGTCGTCTGGTTAGGGGTGAAGACAGAGGTTCTTGGTGAGTCTGAGCCCCTTCCCCTAAGCCCTGGGCCCGAGGCAACCAGGGACTCACGTCTGCTCCTTCTGGAAGAGCGATGGGGCACGCGGGGTATGTATTAGCTGTCACCCCAGCTGGGCCAGCAGGGTCCCCACAATCAAACACATTCATATCTCCGCGATGACATGTACAAATGTTCACATCAAGGGGAATAAATAAAACTATAGTTTCCTGTCCGTGGAGGTCGGGTTTTTGCCTCCACATGAGTCTGCCAACCTCTCACAAGAGAACCCGGCTGTTGTTGATTGACCTTTTGTTAATTTCAGAATTCCACTCAGGGGCCAGTCAGGATGCGGTGGGGCTGGTGGGCCGGGGTCTCCCGCACTGCAGGGCTGGCTTCCAGGCCGAGCCCCCTGTGCGGCGCCTCGGGCCCGGCTCCCGGGAGTGCGCACGTGTCAGCGTCTTGAAGCCCTCAGCGCGCCCGGCGCAAGGGGCCTGCTCTCCTCCGCGCGGGGCTGGACTCACGGCCAGTCCTGCCGCGCCAGGACGCCGCCTGGGCCAACAGCCACTCAGCAAGTGTGGGCTTGACGCGCGAACCAGGCACCTTCCCGTCCTACCCGCTTTGCCCCCCCCCCCCCCCCCCCCCCCCCGGCTGCCTGTCATCGGGACATCCCCGTCAGGGGCCTGGGCCGCCCGCTCACCGGCTAGTGGGATGTCCATGCAGAGTCTGAATTGTCATTCTGAATCTCGGGGTGGGGGCATCCGAGCCTCTAACTAGCACCCCAAATAATCTGGACACATCTGACACAGACAACCAACCGAGTGGTCATTTTGAGGGTTCCCTTGCCCTCCTTTTCTGGCTGTGTGATCCTAGGCAGGCTGCCAAACCGCTCTGGGCTTCCCATAATGGGCAGAGCCAACTGCCACCCTTCAGCCCTCCGGGTCCAGCTGTCTGGGTATAAGCCCCTTCCTGCCAGGTAGCAGGGGGCAGCAGTCCCCAAGTCTGTCCCTGGTGCCTCCCCATGCCCAGCGTGCATGTGTGCGTGAGTGTGCGTGTGTGCGTGTGTGTGTGTGTGTGTGTGTGTGTGGGAGGGAGGGGCGGCTGAGTCTGACCAGCAGAGCCGGTGCGGGTCCACGCACACAGTCGGTGCCACATAACAGAGCTGCGGTCTGGGTCTCCTCCTCCTGGGGCTGAGGCAGCAGGTGAGCCCCGCAGGCTGGAGGCAGCAGCGGGAGAGGTGGAAGGCAGGGCTGGGGCTGGAGGCCAGGCACGTCCTGATACCAATTAAGGCGGCTCCGGCGCAGGGGGGGCCTCGCTGGCGTTTATCAGCCCGCTCGGGAGGGGCTGGCACGCTGTCCTCGGGCTGACGGATTAGACAGCGGACAATTAGGTTTCAGGCGGGCGCTCTCCCTCTCGCGCGCTCTCTCCCTCTCTCTCTCTCTCTCTTTCCCTCACACACACACACACACACACACACACACACCCCTTCTCCATCAGTCTGCAAAACCCAGCAACAGAGCCCAGCTGGGCCCCTGCCCAGCCCCCGGCACCAGGGACAAAACAGAAACGGCACCCCCACCCAAGGGTGGAAGGAATGCTCTCCAAAGGAATAACCAGGACCCCCCAGCCCTGCTTGCGTGAGGTCACGGCTTCACCCCACCATCTCTACCCCATCATCATTCCCAAGGTCCCAGGGGTGAAGACGGCACCAGACCCCACACGTAGGAGGTGAGGGCAATGCCTGCTTCTGAAAGCTCAGAGAGGGTCAAGCTGAGCCCCCAGGGGCCCCTTCTTCCCCTGTCAGCATCAGATACTTTGGTTCACAATGGAAGGAATGTGTAAGCAAGGTGGGGACTTTGAAGGACTCCACAAACCTGGGGAAAAGTCAAGATTCCAGAATGTTCTATACTGAAGACATCATGCAGCTCAGCCGGGAACAGCACAAAGAAGGCTGACCCAAACTCTTCTTTGAGAAAGGCAGTCAGGCCAGTCAGCAGCTCCCCCCCCCCCGTGCCTCCCCCCACCCCGCTGCGGGCCCCACCTCTGGCTCTGGCTCCCCGGGGTGTTGGACACCATGGCCACTGGCAGCAGAGCCTCCCACTAAGATTGTCTTGGGTACCTGGCGCTCGAGGAGCACAAATCCAGTTCATCAATCTCCCCCAAAGAGCATCGCTGTCACCCCAAGGCCTTGTCTAGAGATCTGGGTTCAGCCTTACATTCTTTCCTTCCCCTCCACACCAGATCATCGAACCTACTCCCTGACGCCCCGAGGACTTGCCAAGCCAGGCTTTTCTCTCAGGCATCGCCCCTGAGCCCAGCCGCCGGACCCCGCCAGGGAAGGAACACGCCCCCTCCGCCTCCCCCTGGACGGGCACACGGACACACAGCCTCCTGGTCAGACCCAGGTAATACGGGGCATAAGGACAGTCCCGGAGGGTGAGCGAGAGGGGCAGAGAGAGGAGGCAAGTCCCTCCAGCACCCACCACGATTAAAGCATAAAATCATGACAGGGTAGGGTGGGGGGTGCCACGGTTCCCCCCGAAGTGTTCAGGCTGTTTTTCGGCTGACTTCATCGCTCACTCACTCCCTCCCACCCTCATTCTCTCTCTCATTCATTCCCTCGCCCATTCCACAGAGATGCAGCAGGCCCCTCCCTGTGCCCGGCTCTGGGGCATAAAGCTGAGTGCCAGCCACAGAGTCTGCCCAGGGGGCTTAAAGTCCCTGCCACCCGCTGGGCAGGCTCGTGCTCACTGCCACAGGACGCGGAAGGACAGGAGAAAGAGGGGGCCGAGAGGCCCGGGCCCGGGAGCTCCCCCTTCTTGGGCAGCCAGGTGTAGGGGCCCCGGCATAGATGGGGGCACTGCACTCTCCCCAGCCCCACCTCCCCGTTTGTGAAGGAGCAACTCAGCCGAGCGCAGACCGCCTGTGACAATGTTACATGAAAGGAAAGCAAGTCGGTCCTTTTAGAAATCGGTGCTGGTTTGCTTTGTGGGTTCTCCAGGTTCGGAGTGATGCTGTGAAGGTACGGGAGCAAACCACCACCTGGCGGTCAGTGATCCAGACCAGGACCCCAGCCAACAAGGTCAAAGGCAGAATCAGGGTCATTGGGCCCCAGGAGGCCCAGGGCCAGAGCCCCACTCCTCACTACTGCCTGGTTTCCTGGGAGTAGGCAGCCCCCCTCTTCTGCCCACCTGGGGAGTCACAGGCAGGGAGGTAATGCAGCGCCCACAAACCCCCTTTTGGACTGTGGGTGTTACTCTTGCTCGATCATCACCCCCCCACACACACACCCCAACCCCAAAGATGGAGCCTCCACAAAGCCCCCTATTAAGAAATTGGTCAATTTCCTGCTAATTAAAATAAATACTATGCCACATTAAAGGCCAATTACTTTTCAGAGCTGCCAGGGAAACATGGCTGGTAAGTGTACACCCCACCCTCAGCCCATCCTCCTGTCTCCTCTGCTAAGGACAGCGAGCAGCAGCGGGAGTGGGGGTGGGGCCGGGGACCAGCCCCCAGTGCGGGAGAAGAGGGGTGGCCGTGGTGGACTGACAGGGAGGGCCGAGGGGCGACCAGATGGGGCTTCCATTCCGGAGGGACCCCACAGCTCCCCCCAGGAGCTCTGAAGCTCACGCCCTGGGAAATGGAGGCCCCGAGACCAGGTCTTTCAGGCCAGTTCCACAGCCAAAGACAAGCGCTTTCTCCACAGCAGTATCCTTCGTGAAAAGGATGGGGCCCTGGAAGGCTTGTGATCACCAGACTCTGCACCCCGACATTGTCTCACTGAGCCCCCACAGCAGCCCTTGGGGACAGATACCATGGTCCCCACTTTGCAGATGAATCATTAGAGGCCCAGAGCCACCAAGTCCCTCTCCTGAGGTCACAGGGGGATGGGAACAGGAGTAGGTCAGGTGAGGTCAGCAGGGGAGGGCTAAGACAGGTACCGGGGTGGGGGGCGGCGGGGGGGAGAAGGCCAGGCTGTGGGGCCTCCCATGCCTCCCTAGCTCCAGGCTCTTGGAGGCCCCAGCATTTCACTGAGGCTTCTCCCGCGGGAATCATCAGGGAGGCGCTGAGGCGGCCTGTTTGTCCTTGATAAGCAGGGAGGAGCAGGCGTGGTCTGTGTCCTCTGCGGCAGTGCTCACCGCTCTGGGGACAGATGGCTTCCACCACCGCCCTACTCTGCCGGGTGCCTACTGCGGGCCAGTGCAGTGCTGGGCACGCTGCGGCCGGAGGATCAGCCCCAGGTCAGCGCAGGCGGTGACCTGGGACAGCTGCCATCCACCCAGTGTGCCCAGAGGATGCCTAGCGCCTCCCCAGGCGGCGGGCCCCATAGCCGTTGACTGCCACCGGGGGTCTGAAAGCAGCTTGGAGGGAAGGAGTGTTCCTGGCAGAGGGCACAGCGTGAGCAAAGGCCCAGGGGCACGAGTGGTGCTGGGCTGGGAGCAGACCAGAGCTGGGAGAGTGGGGTGGGCAAAAGGGTGGGGCTGATGTCCAGGAGAAGCAGATAGGGTCTCCAGGTCTGGCTCTACCAAATCTCAGAATCAATAACACTAATGGCAACAATAGCCACCCTGGCACTGACCAGAGAGGACGTGCCCTGCACGGTGCCACGCTCACCTGGCACACTGCCCTCCAACAATCCCACTGGGTGAGACCTCACCATTGACAGGTGAGGAAATGGGCCCAGATTGGTTAGGTAAGCTGTTGGTGGTCACACAGCGGAGAGCAGCCAGGCTGGGACTTGGACCAGGGCTCCCAGCTCACACCCAGTGGCATGTGCTGCCTCTGAGGACTTTGGGTTTCACCCCAAGGACTTCACTCAGAGCTCCATACCCCCAAGTCTGTACATGGAGAGTTGGCAGATCTGTTTCAGGACCGATGGTCTCTCCAGGCCTCCTAGCCTTCTGCCTTGCCTTCCCTCTGATCTTTGTGCAACAACATAGTCGAGAAAAACAGAGACTGCTGGGCCTCCCCGGTGGTGCAGCGGTTGAGCGCTGGGTTGCGAAGCTGCCCGCAGCCTCTGCAGTGCTGGTTCGATCCCAGGCCACCGGGTGAGGGTCCCACATGGTGCGCAGACCTCTCCTGCCGCCCGCTGCTCCCCTCAGCAGTGTACTTCGACAGTCTGCCTGCTCTGCTCTCTGCTCTGACTCTGGTGAATTCTCTCGCCCTTCCGTGCTTCTGACTATACCCAGTGCTTGTATAAATAAATATATAAATCTTTAAAAAAAAAAAAACACAGAGACTGCTGTCAGGGTAGTGGGAGAATCAGAAGCTAGAGGCCTGACCTCAGTCCTCTGGCCCACTGCTCCCAGGTCCCAGTCCGAGGATTGGGGGAACCCCACAGCTCCGTGGGGACACCTCCCAGCTGATCTTTATGTCTCCCCAGAACTGGAGGGTTCAAACAGGAAAGCTGAGCTGTCATGCTCTAGCACCTTCTACCTCTACAAATGCAGAATTCCATGTCAGCATCTGACTCACACAGAGGTGCAACACGGCAGGTGGTAGCCTTGCCCAAGCTCAGGTAGCAGACCTGCTACAGCCCAAGGGGCACCTGTCTCAGGTCCTCCTGTTCTTCAATTTTGAGGCAAATGCACTGCTGGCTTGTGCTCCTCTCTCTGCGTTTGTGGCAGACATTACTAATTAATCACAGATCTCTTCCCTCTAAATCTAGATTAGAATCCTCCCAATAGTCTTTCCCAACTGTGGATTTGGCAGTCCAGGCGACACCTGTTCCCCACCCTCTAGACTGTAGGATCTACTCTTATCTGGGATCCGTACCAGCAGCTGGCCTGGGGCCCAGCCCACGGAACAGAGCACAGTAATAAATATTTGCTGTGTGAGTGAATGAACAAAGGTGATGGCAGTGATGCGGAGTCAGTGTGGGCTGACTGTCCCCTGCTCTGGGAAGCATTCAAAGACGGTCACCCCCGGCCCCTCCCCCTCCCCAGCATTTTCATTAGGACGCATCTGCAGCCCCTGGCCCCTTGGCCCCTGCCTGGGGAAGACACAGACGCCAACACTGGCTTTATTAAGGACCTATTAACCCAGTGTCTTTGGATTGGGGTTAGAAAGCGACTCTGGGCAGGCTAACGATGCTGTCACTGCAGACCTAGGCAGAGAGTCCCAGGGGGGCCCTGGGGGAGGGCCAGGAACCCTAGGTCATGGGGAGGGCTTTAGCCCAGCACCGGCCTGCTGGGTTTAATCCCGTTGCTCTGCTAATTGGCTGTGGGGCTTTGGGCAACTCACTTCCCTTCTTTGAGTCTCAGCCTTGTCACCTGTGAAATGGGGGTTGCTGTGTCCCCCAGCATGCTATAATCAGCAGCATCCCCAGGCCCCCCTGGAGCAGGGCAGTGCAGAGGGCTCACCCACAGCGGGCCCTGATGCTCCCGGACAGGCAGCTGCTGGGCCATCCCTAATTTATGGACGTGGAGGCTTGGGAAAACAGGCAGGAAAGGACAAGGCCAGGATTCAAACGTCAGCAGTGGAGGCACAACTGGGCCATTTCCTGCCTGGCTACTGAGCAGGAACAAAGCCTGGGGCGTGTGGGCGGGGCTGGAGGGGCTTCTCCCATCAGCTCCTGGAGGTGACAGCTCAGCGTGGCAGAGTGGCGCTGGGACAATAACGGAGATTTACGGCCTCCAGTGCAATCAGTGATCACTGTACCATCTGGATGCCACGCGTCCACCTGGGTGTGTGAGGGACCCCAGCCCAACCGTGTAAATGGCAGGGAGGGGCGGAGGGGTGGGGCCACTGGCGTGAGCTGCCAAGCTGACCTCTGGGACTGCGTGGGGCCCCCCTGGCTCTTCCCCTGCCAATCTCAGAACAATCCAGAATGGTTGGAGCAAGGGTGCAGAGGTGGGGGGGCGGGGAGAACTTGGGGGGATGAGAATAACACAAATAGCAGACGGATACTTGTGGGGGGCCACGGTGCATTCTGTGCCACCACCACAAGTGACTCCACCTCTCTGAGGTTCTGTCCTCTCTGTGAAATTGGGTTCACCAGGCTACTTCCCTTGCAGGGCGCTGGAGGGCTAAATTCAGTGAGGAGATGGCAGAGTAAGTTCAAGATCCGAGTTGGAATTCTCATCCCCACCGGCCGGAGGGGAAGACTGAGGCCCAAAGAAGGCCAGTGACTTGCCTTGGGTTGGAGGATGGGTTGGTGGCAGAGCCAGGGCCGAAGATGGACTTGCCTTGGGACACAGCCAGGTCAGAGCCCCCGGGGCAGTCCTGGTGACACCAGGATTGCTTTGAGAGCTTCTCCGTGCCAGGTGCTGCCAAGCACTTTAATGCCTCGGCTCATGGAACCATCACAGCATGTGGGGCCCAGGGGAGGCAGGGAGGATTGGGGGTGGCACGGCACTGTCCCCATCTTACCCATGCACAGGCTTCGGTGGAGCTGTGGGTCCCCACCAGGACTGACTCCAGGCCTGCTTCTCAGCCCCAGCCACTGCCCTCTGGGCACAGGTGGGCCCGGCTCCGTGACAACTGCTCCCAGTTCTCCTCTCCCCAGTTCTTCATGTCCTCCTCCAGGAGAGGGGAGATATGATGCCAAGTGGGGGGCCATGGTGGACATCAGACCAGCTTCCCCTGAGGGCAGCGCCAGTCACCCCCACCTCTGGGGCGGGGTAGGAAGGAAGAGCAGCCAAGGGCCCTCCCTCTCACCTGGGCTCCGGGGATGCTGAGCGCCTGAAGCCCCAGTCTGCCCACAGCCGCACTGGGGGGCCAGGTTGAGTGGTGGGTGGGGGAGGTTGGAAGCTGCTGCTCCTTCCCTGCCACAAGCTTCCTACCCTCCCGGGGTCAGCGGTGCTGGAAGTCTCCCGGCGGAAAACAGAAGCACCTTGCGTGCGCCCTGGGCCCCCGGCCCAGCCACTCTGCTGCTGCCCTCTCGGCCGGCGCGGCCAGGGCAGGGGCCGGGAATGGCAGCTGTCCTGCCACGGGGAGACGGGCGCCCACGACTCCCCTGGCTTCGGGGAGCAGGCCAGATGGGGAGACTCTGGTTTCTGGGCTCCAGCCCCTGCCTCTCGGGTGCGATCCTGGCCTGTCCCTCCGAGGTGACCCTCCCCTCTCCCCACAGAAGTCTGGACCCGACCCTTGTTGAAACCGGGCCAAATCTGGAGAGAAAAACATTCCCAATAGCCTCGGGTGATGCTGTGTGTACCCCTAACTCGCAGGGCCCCCAGACACGCCAGCTGCGGCTGCGCTTCCTCAGGAACAAGTTGTGTGTGTGTGGGGGGTGGCTTTTGTTCAGGAAACATGTAGACTCCCCTCAACTTCGGGGGTGGCCTGTGTCGCAGTTTCCCGGGAACAGGGTGTGGGGGTGAGGCCGGGCTCGGCGGGACCTCGTTCTCCCGCTGCTCTGGGCAGGCGGGGACCCCA